TGGTCCTCCCTGGCTGTGTTGGTTTGGAGAATGAGGTGTAACCTGGAGTTGCAGCAGAGATATTTGGGCAAAAGCTGTTGGATTGCCTCTGTAGCCAGAAGGGCGTAAACAGATCCCCACAGGTGTAGTGCTGGTCCCTTGGCATGGTAGGATGAGCTGTACAAAGCACTCAAGGGTCCTTCAAACCCTCCTTGTCTGACTTTGTCCTCTGCTAGGCTCAACGCTACGAGGCTGCATCAACTATCTATGGACCACACACCCTTTCTGCTTATATCCAGCTCTTTAGAGGCCTTGCAAGGGCTCTTGCTACGGTAACACCAGTTTACTTCATGCCACATGCTGCTACAGACATTTAAAACCTCTCAGTGGTGATGGCTGTACCTGTTCCTCAAGCTACACGGTTGCTACCCTCTCTTTTCTCATAAGAAACCACTTTGAGACATTCTCATATGGTATGAAAAGAGTTCCCATGATGGGGAGGGCTCATACCACCTGGGAAATTCTGGGTATTTTCAGGTTGGAGTTTGGAAAACAGATTCCTCCTGACTCACAGTGTGCCCTGAGCTTGCTGCTTTTCTACCAAAAGACTTTGTTACCTTTGCATCTGGACCATGTGAAGGTGCAGGAGGAATCAGCAACAGGGCAGGGGGTGTCCTGGGGGGGGGATTGCTCCTCCACAGGCAGCTTGGTTTTGTGCTCACTTGTTCTTAAAATGTGCTTAGATGGTGGGCTTGGGTGAAGAGCCGCAGTGCTGGCATGATTCACCCTGGTTATCTGCCATGTCTGTACAACGAGGGCATCTTCCCTCCCTCAGGACACAGCTCAGGACCTGCCTCGTGGCCCGGAGCCCCCACTTTTCAGCATTGGCAACCTGACCCTGGTGCCTGCCCTCGTGGCCGACCGGGCGCCAGCAGGCAGGGCATTCGGGGACGTGCTGCGGGACGTGAGACACCAGTACCCAGTGGTGAGACCCTCTTCCTTTGCAGAAAACCTCGGAATCCTCACCCCTCTGCTGAAAGGCTTTGTTTTCCACAGGGTCGTGGTGGTCTCTAGACCTCAAAGGTCTAGGGTTTCGGCCATGCCCGCTAAGATCTTTTGTGCCATTGTCGTTGCACTGAACATTATTAAAATGAGTGAGTGAAGGGGACAAATAAAATCCCCTGATGTGCAGCGTGAAGAAGGTTTCCCCTTTGGCTTCACCATAAAAGAACAGCTTCTGATTAAAGAGGCAACTGTGGTTCAGCGGGTTCACCTTTGATGCCTCTGGTACAGAATGTAAATGAAATAAGAATGTCAGAAAGGGTTCAGTTCTCAGTGCTCAACATTTAGAGACGGAGCAGGGCTTTCATCCCACTGCTGTTTCCAGCAGTAAGGTGGGAAGGAAGCAGGGAGGGGTTCTTCAAAATCCCACCTATTCCCCTCCCTCTTTTTTTTGCACAGAAGGCTTTTGTTCTGCAGTGCCTGTTGCTACTGCAACCAGGGAATCTATAAATAATAACATAAAAATAAAATGAAAATAAACCAAAACCCTATGAAACCCCAACCAAACCACTAAAAAAAAACTTGCATGGCACCTTCAAAGGGTATTCTTAATGTGCAGTGTGCTGCTCAGTCTTTAATACAAAGCTCAATTTTCCCCCACAGGGAGAAGTCGCTGAAGTAACTTTTGTAGGTGCCAACCCCAGGAACTCGGCAGAGAACGGGGTAAATATGGAGTCAGGGATGGAGTTACTGCCTCTGCCTGGGCCAGCTGCATCTGTGGTGCTCAGGTGTCAGGAGTTGATGATCCTTGGACTGGAGCAGCTCTGCTCTGGAGCCAGGCTGGGAGAGTTGGGGTGTTCAGCCTGGAGAAGAGAAGGCTCCAGGGAGACCTTAGAGCAGCTTCCAGTGCCTGAGGGGCTCCAGGAAAGCTGGGGAGGGGCTTGGGACAAGGGCAGGGAGAGAGAGAACAAGGGGGAAGGGTTTCCAGCTGGAAGAGGGAGCTGGAGATAAGACCCTGGCCCAGGTTGCCCAGAGAAGCTGTGGCTGCCCCATCCCTGGCAGTGTTGAAGGGCAGGTTGGATGGGGCTTGGAGCAGCCTGGGCTGGTGGGAGGTGTCCCTGCCCATGCAGGGGGTTGGATCTAGATAATCAGGATCACACCCAGGCAGGTTGTCCCATCATTCTTCTTGCATAGACATTAACAGCAACTACCTCACCTGTCTGCTCTCTTTTTAATTACCTCAGCTGGGGCTTTGGCACTGAGATGCAGGTGCTCTTGCTGGGAATCCCCACACTTGCCAGGGAAGCACACAGAAGCGTAGCCCCTTTTCCAGCTTGGGGTGACAGGGAGGAGTGGGGACATGCCTGTGCTTGCAGCATCTGGCTGACTCTGTTATTTTTATTCCAGACTGAGCACAACTTCCTGACAGTGGAGAGACACACCAGCCCTGCAGATGACTGGCAGGTGGTACAGAACGATGCCTCCTGGGACACCAGGTGGGTGCCCTGACCACATCTCACTGTACCACAGGCTCCAGGGAGTAATGCCAGTTTAATCCAAAGGGCTTAATTTCAGAGCTCCCAACTGTAGGTTGGTCTTGTCCATGCAGGTGGTGTTTCCTGGGGATGGATCAATCTGTGTTTGGGTGGTTAACTTGTCAGGACCATGACAATGGTACCTTCTCCTCAGGTCTAGCTTCTGCAAGGAAGGATTATAAGTTTGGGAAAGGTAGGAGGAAGAGCAGGAAGGTTGGTGGCCCAGCTTCTTCATCCATCTGCCTGTTAATGAACAGGATACTAAAGGGAAAATGTGAGCAGGGTTCTCAGAGGGAAGAACTTTGCTGTGCATCACAAAGCAGGAGCAGTCAGCAATTTTAAAGAAGCTTGTAAGAAAGTAAAGTTAAGGATGGAGATGTCAGTGATAAGGAAGAATTACCACTGAATGTTGGCATCTTTTAGCCCTACACCAGATGTTGGCTCATGAAACAGAAATGCCAGAGGTGTCTTTTGTCAACCCATTTGATTTCTAGCTACTCTCCTGTTTGAATTAAACCAGGTGTTTTCCCACCTGCCTCTGCAACCTGTCTGTGAGAAACTGAGCCCCCAAAAACCTCCATGTTGGGTTCTTAGGACCGTGTGATGTCCTGGTGCAAACATGTAGTGTCTGATGTCAGAGAGGCAGTGTTCCCTACAGCTTGGCTTCATAGAGTTGTCAGGGTTGGAAGGGACCTGTGGAGATCACCCTGTCCAACCCCCTGCTACAGCAGATCCCATAGGAACACATCCAGATGGGTCAGGAATGTCTCCAAAAAGGAGCCTCCACAGCCTCTCTGGGCAGCCTGTCCAGGGCTCTGTCACCCTCACAGCAAAGAAGTTTTCCCTCATGTTTCACCTTGAACCTCCTGTGCTCCAGCAAATCTTCTTGTGAATTTATGATGAGTATTTGATAGGGTATAATTCTCTCTGCCCAAGGGCAACCAGCTGCTCTCTAAACCTGGTTCAGGAGCCAGGACTCCAGCTGGGGAGATTTTCTCCTACCTGCACTTGGAGCATTTCTAACTGCTTGCCCTGTATTTATTACTTGCATTATGTCACTTTGTCAATCTCATTGATGTCACCCTTTCCCATCAAGTTCCCTCCTTGAGTAAGGGAAGTGATGGCATTTTATCACCTACGTATGGAGACCTGCCCTTCTTCCTTCCTCTTCCAAAAAAACCAACAGATTTCCCAAAATCTTGGTGAGGAACACTGAGGATGTTTCATAACATGTCATTTGAGAGGATGAAAAACCAAGACAAATGCACAACTTGAAGAATGTGCTGCCACGATGCTGGAAAGAGAAGAACCTAGATGTCCTCTTTTCCTCCCTGAGGAGGACTTGGGATCTCTGAAGGATGCTTGGAGAGTTCTGCTGACAAGGAAGAGGAGCTGTTTGGCCTCTTCCTGCCCCAAGGGGCTGGCCAGAAGGCAAACCAAGGCAGACAGTGATGTCTCCCTTCCTGGTGCCCCAAGAAAGTACCAAACACCACAAGAAAGGGAAAATGGTTCCATTCATGATTTTACCTCACATTTTTATGATGCCAGTGTGTTAACCTTGCCATGCCAGTAATTCAAGTCGTGGGGACAGGGAGCATCCAACATTTTAACTTGTTATTAGCAGAGTCAGACTATGGGGGTTGCTTTAGGACAGGAAAAAGGACCCTTTGAAAGCACCGAATGTGCTGAGGCTGCAAAGTGTTAAATAGCTCTGAGCTGCATCTGTGAAATGTGCTTCAATCTCAGGGATCAAAAGACCTGAAAGTTTACTCAGAGAAGGTACAGATTTTGGGGAAGGGGGACAGCTGCCATCTGCGCTTTGTGCTGCCTTTGCCACCCCAGCAGAGACAGACTCAGGGCAGGTTTCCTCTTTTGCTGGAGGCTGCCTTGGTGCTTGCAGCAGGGCAGTGTTTGTCCCCACCCTGCTTCTGCATGGGGCTTTTTTTGAGACTGTTTAGGAGAAGAGGCTGAGCTAGAGGTAGACATTTGCCTGGCCCTGCCTTTAGCAAACAGCCAACAGTGATAAGATGTGGTTAAATCTCCATGACCTCACCTGTGAGGAACCTCTTCCCAGGGGAGACCTGAGCTAGAGTCTCAGAGAGGTGATTCCTGCAGCCTGGGGGCAGGATGGGGAGGAGGCAGGTGGTGGCACAGACCTACCACAGCAGCATTTTCAGGTCACAGCCAGGCTCAGGCTTCAGATCTCTGGTCCAGCCCAGCTCCCAACAGATCCAATGCTGCAGCTACAGCAGGTTGCTTGGGGCTACCTCCAGGCAAGTCGGGGTGGACACCAAGGCTTGAGATCCCTCAGCACTTTGGGCTTTGTGCTGTCACCTCACTGTCATCTCCCAAGACAACATTGCCTTCATCCCAAGAGAAGCTATTGCAATCCACAGCCAAAACCTTGGACAAGAGCAACCAGGCAGATACATGGGCCCTGTGTCAGCCTCTGGTCCCTGTTTACCAAACCCCATTTTCCCATTATTCACTGTTTTTCACCCAGGTATGTGTGCAAATATTTATGTCAGTCTTGGCAAGACTGGTGTGAGGAAACCTTTCATTACCATTGCCAATGGATCAACACCTTTTGTTGATCTGGTTCCTTTAGCTGCAGCCCTGAAATGGGGATGTTATCTCAGCAGGACTAGATAACTCTCATGTCTGGCCCAGATACTATTAGGGGTGTGCCCAACAGTGCCCAGTATCAAAAGAAGAGCCGGTTCCTCATCTTCACCTCCCCAAGAAGTGCTCCATCCCAGCTGGCTGAAAAATCCCTCACCTCAGAGGATGTGTCTGGAGAGCTTTGGGCTTGACCAGGAGTGCTTTTGCACCAGGAGTCTCCAAGAGAAAATGCCAGGGTGGTGTGGAAATGGGTGCCAGAAGCCCTGACCTTGGTGGTGGTAGATTTTGCCTGTGAACATCCATAAATACTTCAGCATGAACCAGTCACCCTGTGGTGACCATTGCTCAGAGGGGTAATGTTGGCTGGGGTGATGAGGTGGAGTTGGGGGATCTAAAACCACAGTAGAAATACTCCTCATCTGCAAAAAGAACTGCTGACCTCTTCTTCCATGTCTCCAGGTATTTTTCAGATGTGCTGGGTTCTGGGTTGGCTTGTTGGTTGCCTACATATGTGAGGAAAGCTTTACAAGAAGCTCTTGAAATACACTTGGCTGGAGGGCATCCATCTCGTGACACAATGAGCTCTTGTTAAAACAAATGGATTTCCCTGCTGATGGCAGTTTGTTTGTTTCTCTGCTAGGTTTTACTGGACCAAAGGAATATTTGGGCAGAGCAAAGTGACCATTGAGTGGCACATCCCCCAGGACACAGAGCTGGGTGTCTACAGGATCCGGTACTTTGGGCACTACAGGAAAAAACTGTCCCCCAGCCAGGCTGTCTCTGTTCCATTTGAAGGCACCTCTTCAGCATTCGAAGTCACAGCTCTGTAGGTGACCTCCTTCCTGGAAGGAATCCTTTCCTTCCTGAACATCAGTGATGGTCACAGTGCTCACCCAGGAGAGGTTTTTGCAGCATATGTGACTCTGTACATGGTTGTACATGTTCATGGTTGTACATGTCCATGGTTGTACATGTACATGGCCCTGGAAAGCCCCCGGTCATCCTCTGCTCTGCAAAGCTCCACTTCCTGCAAAGGTTTGGCTTCAGTCCCACGTGTCCAACACATTCCCATTCAAGCTGCTCCTCTCCTGGCCAGATCTCATCACTGTTGAGTCAAATTTTAATAAAAGGTGTGATTGTTTTTCTTTAGTTGTTTACCAAGAGCTCTTGGACTGTGAACAGGCAGAATGAATAACACCAGGAGGTCATCCAGGCCATCAAATTATCTGTAAAATTGAGCTCACTCCATACAAGTGGAAAGTGCTGCTGAATTCACAAGGCGGCAGAAAAGAAGAGTCCTCAGTCATGCTTGAATTACAAAGGTGACATCAAAGGATTCCAACCCAAACCCTTCTATGATTTTATGATCTAGGGATAAGTTGGGTAGATGATAGGTTGATTTTATGACCTGAGGCATCATGCACCTGTGGCACAGCCAAGAGGGGCTGTGAGAAAAGCTCTGGGGCTGACTGTGTCCACTCTTGTCCTTGTGTTAAGCTCCTGCCCAGCCCTCTGGCCACAGCAAAGGGCAGCGGATGGTGTTTTGGCCTCTAAACACCAGTTTGGGACACATCAAATAGAGCCAAAATAAGGGTGCCAGGGGTTGTTTCAATAGGGGAGGGTCATGGGAGAGCACTGGGGTTACAGCAGGGGCCCTATGCAGGGTGGGGCTTTTGGGAGGGACCTGTTGGTGCGGAAGAACCTGCAGCTCCTGGCAAAGGTGTCTGGTGTCCAACCAGCACAGGGTTGGATTTAATCTCAATAAGTTTATATTTCAGGTGCTGCAGATGGAAATAAGTAAGAATTGAGCTTATGGATTAAAGCTGTGGGTGAGGCAGCTCTGAGCAGACCTTCTTTTCAGCATCAGGAAGGACACAAAGTGAGCAGGTTCTGGCTGGCTGAAGGACTGCCCAGAGCCCATGGCTACAGCCTGAATCACTGGCAGGTAGGTCACCAGAAGGACTCTTGGTGCTCCTCCAGTCCATGTGAAGGATCAGGGGAGGGTTTCATCAAAGCACAGAACAAAGGTACCATCGGAGGGGCAGAAGGACAAAGCCCATTAGCTGAAAGGGTTTCAACACAAAAATGCTGCCAGGAAGGTAGAGGAACTTCTCCTGGGGGATTCAGGAGCTTGGCTGGACAAAGCCATGACCACTTTGGTGGCAAGTCCCTCCTGAGGTGCCTCCCACCAGCACTGCCATGGAGTGCCATAAACAGGGATGGCTCCAGAGTCCCCAAATCTCTTCCAGCCTCCATAAGTGGTAGATCCAGGGAGAAGAAAAGATGCCTTTCAGATCTGGATTTGGGAATCTTGTAGTGTCTTGCAGCTAAAGAGTTGTGAATGTTTGTTGAGCTCCAGCAACATGCTCCAGTTTTGTACTCAATCTCGTGACTTCTTCAGAGAATCCTCAGTCAGATCCTTCTGCCTCTCTTTGAGATCAGTAGGAGGAAATGAATTATTCTTGTGGAGCAGCTGCAGCCACTTTCTCAGATCCCTCTCTGGAGGAGCTCCAAGCCATGGCAATGTTGAGGCAGGAAAGGGAGAGCTTTGGAAGAACACCACTGGGAATGGAATCCCTGCAGATGTTCTTAGTTGTGTTCTTTCCTAATAACTCACTCCCCCATCTGCAGGATATGGGCAGCAGCAGATGCTGCTCCAGCATCCCATTGTGCCAGGGGCCAGGCTCCCCCAGTGCAGCCACACTCCAATTGATCCAAAACGATCCAGAAAGTTTCTTGCAAGGTTTTATTTCCCCACTCACTTTAAGATGGTGCAAAATCTTACAACAGAGCCAGGTCATCAGTGGGGACACAGGAGACACTTTCTGGTCTGAAGATGGAGCTGCTTAATGAATCCCAGGATAATGATCACCTCCCTCCACTTCCTGTTTCCTGCATAAACTGGAACAGATTGCATGGGAACACTGTTTTCCTGGAAGAAATGCTTGAGGAAGAAGGAAACAGTGGCTCTTTTTTTCCTTGGGCACCACTGTGATGTTTTATTTGATTGTTGCAGGTAATTCTGTTTGTGCTGTCGCATGACAGTGATCGTGGGTTTGTTTTCTTCAGTAGCACTTGCACAGGACCCTGTTCATGCAAGGAAAATCAAACTGTGCAGTTAAAAATGCTGATGGGCAACGTTCACCCTCTGCAACGTGACCCCCCAGAAGAGGGTTGGTGGGAAGCTGGTGTTCCTCATGGGAGAAGAGGTGCTGAGAACCAGGATGAGGGGGTGTGGGGAGTCCCACTGGTGCCCCAGAGCAGGTCCCCTGTGAAGAACCTCATGGCAGGCTTGTTGGGTCCTATGCCACCTGTGGGCACAGGCTCTTTGGGGGAGGTTTCCAGGAGTTTCTTTGGAACCCTCCATCACTTTTTTTTGGTGCCCAGAAAACCCAGCAGCTGCGGTGTGAGAGAGGCTGGGGTGGGAAGTCCTGGGGTGGGCTAACTCTTGGGTTGCCTTGTGGTTGTCCTCTCCTGCTCCTTGCAGTGACAAGCAACCCCTTCCTTCCCTCCTGCCTGCAGGGTGGTGGGATCCAGCAGCCACTAGGTGCCAGTGCTGCCGTACAGCAGAAGCAGCTCAAGGCTGAACAGAGCCCAGGCCTTGGGGAAGAAGAAATAATAAATAAATAAATAAACCCCAACCCAACAAACAGAGGAATTTGGGCAAGTGGCCAGCTGTTAAATTTAGCATTACTCATGGCAGCTGCTCTGCCCTCCCCCGGGCTGCTCTCCTGCAACGTGGAGCTGTTTGTGCCTTGGCTACGTGCTCTGTGGGCAGGGAAAAGCTCCCCCTTGTTCTTCGTCGTGGGACATAAACAAGCATGAGCTTTAGGAACGGGTCTGGGAGGTGTGAGTGGTTACAGGCAGAGCCTGAGCCACCCCTGGGCTGTGCTGATCCCTCCTGAACGACCAACAGGATCTGGTGATACAGAGTCATGGAATCATCAGTGACCTTTAAGGTCATCCAGTCCATCCACTCACCAAGCCCTGCCAAATCCCCACTAAGCCATGTCCCTCAGCACCACATCTGTGTGGCTTTTCAGTCCCTCCAGGGATGGGGACTCCAGCACTGCCCTGGGCAGCCCTTTCTGAAGAGTTGTTAAATTAGGATCTGACCCGAAGCACTGAGGGACAGGGAGAGTCCCTCGGCTGTCTCTGGGAGCTTTTGGGTCTTTGATGACTTGTTTGATCTTTTAGGACCTGTTTGATGCTGTGGTTGGTTGGATGAGTCCAACAGAGGGTATTTGTGTGCAACCCACCTCCTCTAGTGGCTATTGGCTTTTTAGCACCTTCACATCTCAGGCTGTGTCTGCGTGAGCTGGGTCTGCAAACCACGGAACCTTGCTCTTCAGGGGTTTCCCTTAGCCAGTCCCAAGTCTGGGTGTGCACAGCCCCTGCCTTCTGCAGGCAGCTGGAGCCAGGCCAGAGCAAGGCTCTGGGCACAGGAAGGTGCTTGAGGTAACAGAACTTCTCCAGGGAGAGAGCACCCCACTCCCAGCACCCCTTGGAGGAGAGGATGTGTCTAAGCACTCCCTTCCCCCAAGCACTTCACAGAGAGCAGCTGAGAATTGTAGTTGTAGACAAGTTTAAAGTTTGGAGGGTCACAAATGGTGGAGTCACCATCCCTGTAGGTGTTAAACAATATGTAGACATGGTACTTCAGGAGATGGTTTAGTTGGCATCGTGGTGTTGGGTTGGTCGCATTTGATGACCTTGGATTTATTTTCCAGCCTTAATGATCCTATAAATAATTTCCAGCCCTTGAAAGAAGGAAGACTCCCTTGATGTGCCTCTCTGTTGCACCATGAGGACTACCAGGGCCAGGCTGACCCCCAGGCAGACAGGGAGCTCTGGTCATTGGTAGTCCCAGACTGGAGCACTGTGCTTCAGAGCTGGGGGATGTTTTACCCCCAAAAGAGGGAAATCCAGGTGATGGGGAGATGAGATGGTCTATGGGAGATTCAGGTGGGAAAAGGGAGCCAAGCAAGCTCAAACATGAAGCAACTCCCCTTGAAAGCCACTGGAGACCTTGTCCCATAGGCCTCTGTGGGGGGTTCAGTGAGGCATAAGATGGAATCTTTTGGCATGGGATGTTTCAGGGTCTATCCAGCTCCAGAGGCAGAGTTGCTGTGTGATCCTTGGGCACCTTTCATTCTCATATTGCTCCTCAGAGCTGAGGCCCTGTGCTTTAGAAGTTTCCCAGAAAGGGAGCTGGGAGAAAGGAGAAGGCAGCTTTTGTGCCTCCTGCCCTGCAAACAGCCAAACTTGTGGCCATCTGCTGATCTAAAGATCTGCTGATCTTTTTTTTTTTTTTTTTCCTGGGCCATTGATCTTCTCACCATTCACAGCTCAAACACATCTTAGACTTGTTTGGGGAGGGTGGGTATGGTTTATTGGCTTTGTCTTGCTATCCACTGAGAACCCACATCTTTACAAATGGGAAAGAACATGTTCCAAGTTGGGTTGTGAGGTTGAGATTCCTTGAAAAATCCTTCTTGCTCTCCAGAACGAATGGGCCAGACTCTGCTGAGCAAAGAGGGAAGCTCAGTTCTCCAAGAGGGGAAAACGTTAAAGCCCAAAAGTGAATTCTGCCATTGTCCTGATTTCAAAGCAGGACATCAGCAAAATCTGATGAGATGAAATAATAGAGCTAGCAGAGCTGCTGTTCTGGTTAAAGCCCAGAATGCAGCTGAGCCTTTTGGAAGCCTGTGAGGACAATGTCAGGCTATTTGGGCAAAATCTCCCTTGGCTTGGGAGGCAGGCCCTTGGTTGTCCGTGCATGGTACCAGAGCTTCCCCCCATTTCTTTGCCTCAGGATCTCTCTGGAAAG